GGATTTTTAAAAAGAAAAAATAAACAAAAAAAACAATGCAAATTTTCCAGCTTTAAAGGGTGGAGAACTCCCTACCAAGACAGGACATACATTCACACAAGAGTTTGAGGGCTTGGGAAAAAGACAGGACTCGGCCCCACAGTGCAGGGAGACTCAGCGATCCAAACATTCTGGCAACCCCACTGACCCTATGAGAGGGGCCAGAAGGTGGACGACCTCCTGTGGGCAGGAGGCCAAGTATGTCATAACTGACTGGTTCTTGCTGAACCAGGGGAGAGAGCCCCAGAACAACTGTATTTGATTTCACAATCGACCCCCACCTTGACAATGGTATGTTTTCAGGTTCCCGGAGACTGATTGGACTGGGAAATGAGGCGGGGCAGCCCTGTGAGTCCTCTGCCCACGCCGCCCCTGTGGGAGTGTTGGCCAGCACCAGGGATTCTCAGTCCTGTTTTTCTTTCCTGTGGCCCTTGTTACGTGCAGATAAATATTTAACTACTTATATTTTAATTGCTTACCATATGGGTGGAATTGACAATGGATATATTTTAGTACGAGAAAAATAAGTCTCTTACAGGCAATGCTGAGACGCCATACATAATATATAGAAAATTTATTCGCAGGCAGCCTGAGGCAGGCTGGGTCGCTATGCTTCCTCCTCCTCCTCCGGCGGGTTCTCACTTTCCTCGCCCTCGGCACCAGACTCCACCGGTGTGGTCACCACAACTTCGGTGAGCTCCCTGGGATAGGAAGACAATGCCAAGGCTTTTACTCTTGAAAGGAGCAATTAAACTATTGATTATCCCTCATTTTAGATTTGATTTTAAACTGTCCCCAGCCATTTACCCTGCATCCTTGTTGAAAATCTCCTTCTCATCAGAAGACTCCTTGTCATGCAGCTTCTCTGCCATGTTTTTCTGGCGTCTGGCATTGAGAGGTCTGTACATATCCGCAAGCCGAAGTGGCCACCTGAACCAGAAAAAGCCCTCCTAGAAAAGAGACAGGAAAGTATTGGTTCAGCATTTCCCCTGCTTTCTCCGGCCACAGCAATGAATCCTCCTCAAATTTACCTGGCTCTCACTTTGTGATGAGCATCTCCAATGTAGAAATCTGAAAAAGCCACGTGGAGGAAATACACACAAGACAATTAGTGATTCCTGCCATTTTCCAGGTCTCTCACAATGTACATCTCTGGTCTTATTAGGATTAAATGTGTACCTTGGTCCATAATCACAGTGAGCAACATTGCTACAGACTTGGGATCCTGAAAATAATTCCATGTGTGCTGGATTCCAGAAGCTCTCCATGTCTGTCCAAGAGGGCCCCACAATGTCACTGGGGAGACCTTTGTGCATGGCTTGGCATGGAGTACAGGCAGGATTTTCAGCCCCACTCACCCCGTTGGCCAAGTGCTCTAGTGCAGTGAACAAACCTTACAACACATACAGGGCAGAAGTATTTTACTCTCTCCAGAAGCATTTTATATCAGTCCCTTTCCAACTTAGTCCCACAGGTGGCATTTGCTGGGGAGTGAGGGATAAAGTGCTCCTATTTTCCTAGAAGCTCTGTCCTGTAAGTCGAGTCACATCAAGCAAATGCCTGGGTCTAGCTAGCAAAGTTATCTGTCTCACAGATTTGCATACTGCAGGCTGTCACTGGGGAGTGAGCTGTGAAATCAGTTTAAAAGACAAAATATTCTTTTTGAATATGAACAGAATGGAAACAAATCAGAGTGCATTGTTTTAGAAACTACTTATGTCTACACAGCATATGTGTATTGATTTGTGATATAAAATGCAGCTCACAGCCCAAGGAGAGTATAATCAATGGAGAAGCCCCCAGCTGGAAAAGGACCACTCTCTTTCTGACACTCACTAGCAGTGTGAACATGGGGCAAGATAACTTCCCTTTCTCTGTCTCTATTTCCTTCTTGTAAAAGGAAGAGACAAACTACTGTCTAAGGTCTCTCCTAGTTAAAATTCTATGAGGTCGAGATAAAAGGAATGGAGAGTGGGGTCCCAAAAACCAGTAGGATGAGAAGGTAGGTTTTCCTGCCACTCTAGAGGGAGGATTCATATCTTCTGCCTTCCATCAGCCTTGAAGGAGACTAGCTCCCTTGCCCCCATATCATGTGGCCTTCCCTATCTCTTCCCCAAAGCCTACGAAAAGGCCTCCGGCCTGATCTGATGCCCAGCACCAGCAGGGACAGACACAACCACAACTCCCCCACCTTCCCTTGAAGGACTGGTGACAGGAGATGCATCCTTGCCAGTCCTGTCCAACTCAGCTTTGGCTGGGGACCTAATTTTGCTGGAGCCAGACAAAGCACTAGGGTAAGTAAATATTCTTCCTGCCTCTGACAGTTTCCTCACTGTGAAATGAGGGGATTGAAATACATGAGTTCTAAGTTCTCCTCTAGTTCTAAAATCTAGTTTAAAAATTGCCAGA